GCTTCATCCAGTCTGGCATTTTGCATGATGTACTCTGCATATAGGTTAAATAAACAAGGTGACAATATACAGCCTTAACATACTCCTGTTTATCTCTTCTCCAGAGTACTCAGAACTTGGGGTTATGTTTGTTTGTTTCTCCCACCAGAGTGTGAGCAACCTGAAAAATAAGACTGTGTCTTTTTCTTCCCTATATTTTAATCTCTTATGCCAATATTTAGAACCCAATAGACACTTCCTATATGTTTGCTGAATGAATACACAAAAGAAGAAACACATAAATCAATTGGAAGACACTGTGAAGGAGGCCAAGGTGGTAGGTTTGACAGCCCATGTGAGCTAAACAGATAACTCTTCCCTGTCCACAGCCTCAGACTGGTTCCCCAAACTTTGCTACCCACAAACCCACTTCTGAGAAAAAGGTGCAAGGGTGGGTGGCCAGAGGTGGTCTCACCTGTGCTAATATGAAATGACACCTTTTTTCTGCAGTTGCAGAGACTTGCTGAGGTTGTTCTCAGAGATAAATACTATTATCATAGTTCAGTTCTGATGCTAAGGCCATTAGATTGGGCAGACACTCTCCAAAGCCATTAACTCTGACCATTTTAAAGACCACATTCAATAACACAAGGCACGTAAGGAACAGAGCAGGGACAGTCTCTCCCCTCGCTCCCAGCTGACTGGAGGCTCTCTGTTTGCACTGTTTATCACATAGCTCACTTCCCTCTGCTCAGCATTCAGCCTCCAGATGCCCAACAGAAACCAATTTCTGAGCCATTCTTCCAGTAAATGCCCCCAACCCTGTTGATCTCCCAATTACATCTAGAAACACTTAGCTGTAAGACATTTCAGTGTACCGATCGCTTGGCATTGCTTTCCTCTTAACTTGGTAATCACCACAGCCTGTGCTTTTAAAAAAAAGAAAGAAAGAAAAAGAAAAAAAAAGCCTCTTTGTCAGGCCAGGTCCTAGTAATTGTATCAAAGGGGAAGAGAGGGAAAGCCTTCCAGTTTGGGTCTTCATCCTAAAATTTCTGCCTTGGAAAAACTACTGGGATGATCTACATTAGGATTAAAGGTGAGTTTTTGGTATTTTAGATGTATAACATTCAGAGGGCTAGGGATGCCCCAAAAATGCTCTATCTCCTAAAAACATATGAAGCCACAGTGTACACGCAATGAACAAAGCACATTGGGAACCAGTGTATTATATATTATTAACTAAAGCAGAGCCCAATAACCCCACAGGAGAATTTAATGGTAAAAACTGGGACACGAGGCTTAAACTCAAGAATAATTAGAGTCTCTTATCCCCTCTCACTCAATCTACACATCTTGGGACCAGCCTACTCAAGATATGCCCACTGGGAAAAAGAGAAGGAAAAGGAAAATGGGAAAGAAAAGAAGGAAAGAGGGGAGCTAGGGTGAGAGAGAGACAGACACTCAATCTGTTTATCCACTCTGCCATGTGGATCTCAGCAGAGAAAGCAGATCATTGCACTCCTTAGAGCACAGTCTAGCTAACCAGTTTTACCTTTGGACTCTTTAAGAAGAGGAAAACATACTAGAGGAACTGTGGAGTTCAAATCCAGCTGGTCTTCAGGCTCATCTGAAGAGCTTTATTTAAATACTGATTCCTGACACCCCCCACACCCCCCTCCACCCCTCCAGCATTCTGATTAAGCAGATCTGCTGCAGAGCCCAGGGAGCTCAATTTTAATAGTCTCTGGTTTGGAAACAATTAGTGAGCCTGCTTCCTCTCAACAGGTGAAAAGGAATAATAATTTGATCATGGATTGGTGGTGGGAGGTAAAACTTTGACAGTCTTGAGAGCTAGAGTAGCCTGGAGAGGAGTGGTTTCACAGTAAATGTCTCCTCCAAGCTCCCAAGATGTGAATATTGCTGCCCCAGATAGTCTGTATAAGCAAAATGCTTTTTATTGTCTTTTCACTAATGCTATAGGCTAAATTATAGTAAGTGGAATCTCTAAGCCACAAGGTGGACTTGCCATTTTTCAAAGGTAAGGCAAGTGCACCCAGCAACTATGCATCAGCCCAAACATGCATCACCAACCATGTGCAGTTTGGTGGGTGCCTCCACTAACCAATCCAATGTGGGGGCCCAGAAGGAAGAGAACATGTCCCTTCCTCTCCCAGGGTGCAGTCAGGAACCTTCGTTCCATCCAACCTTATACCACCTTGAAAGGAAAAGTGAAAGTCACTCAGTCGTGTCTGATTCTTTGCGACCCCATAGACTATACAGTCTATGGTATTTTCCAGGTCAGAATACTAGAGTGGGTAGCCTTTCCTTTCCCCAGGGGATCTTCCCAACTCAGGGATCGAACCCAGGTCTCTGGAGTTACAGGCGGATTCTTTACCAGCTGAGCCACAAGGGAAGCCCAAGAATATTGGAGTAGGTAGCCTATCCTTTCTCCAGGGGATCTTCCCAACCCAGGACACTCCTTAGGCCCACTTTTTTCTTAATTTGATTTTATTCCTGTTTTCTGACTTTATAAAAATGCATCCCTTTTTTATATGACAGCCTTTTAGATACGTAAAAGCTTCTCTCCTCCAGAACAAGTTATCTCATTGTCTTATATTTGTTTTTGGTAGTTCTACCTTTAAAACAACTAATATCTTTGAGCCTTTGAAAGGATCTATAACAGAAATATTAAATAATCAACATTATCAATGTGAAGGAGCCTGTATAAGATCATTTATTTGTCTGTTCTAAAGTTTGGCCTGGTGTTATATGTGTATTGGGAAGAAATGTGGGGTTCTGGCCCTTTAAGGAACTGAGGCAGATTCAGGGGAAAGGGCTATTAGTGCGTAAGGCAGAAGTGAGCTGAAGACAAGCATGTTTTATGTTGATCTAAAATGAGAAACTCAAGCAGTGAGAAAAGAAAGGAAAAAGGAAGACAGACAAGCCAGTTGCTCTAAAGACCAGCTGGAGAATATTCTGGAAGCCAGAAAATATCACTGTGCTCCCAAGGTGTCGGGGTTGGGGGGGGGGGGACGGTGAGGTGCTCACTCACACCTGCCCCTGAAATGTAACTGAACCCTCTAGAAACAGGTGGGAACAGGTACTCTAATGAGCTCTTGGACAGGCTGGAGATACAAGTTGAGAGCTTTTCTATAGCTATTAAGGAAATACATTTTGGAGGGTTAAGATATTTAATGTGAACAAAGAACTTTGAGGTAACTTTAATCTTTGGGGCCTTCTTTGCTTATAAGATAAATATTTGTTGTTATTTAGTTTCTAAGTCATGTCCGACTCTTGCGACCCCATGGACTGTAGCCCACCAGGTTCTTCTGTCCATGGGATTTCCCAGACAAGGATACTGGAGTGGGTTGCCATTCTCTTTCCCCAGGGGATCTTCCCCACCCAGGGATTGAACCTGAGTCTCCTGCTTGGCAGGCAGATTCTTTACCACTGTGCCACCTTGGAGGCCCATATGATGTTCATTAATCATTTGCTGTCTGAGTAGATGTAGATCCAGTTACCTGTATCATAGGGTATAGTCCCCATTTCAGTAGTGTAAGGAGCACTTGACCTGGAGTCTGAAAACCTAAGTTTAAGTGAACAGAGGAAGTCACATGATCTTTCTGAGCTAGTTTCCTTCTCTGTAAAATAAGTCTTCAATCTATAACAATGTCTTCCTCTCATGTTTTTTGCAAGAATTACATGGAAATAAATGCACACTTGGTAAAGTACTAGTTCTATAGGAATATATTGTTATTCCCTGGTGGAACATGCCTGAAGCAGGTGGTGGCTTGTTCTACCCTACCTTAAATGGAAGGGAATCTAGTCCATGGTGTGGCAGCACGCTGGACAGTCCTTATGCAGGAGGAGTTAAAACATCTCCAAGAGGGGGCTTGCATAAAGCCTACCAAACCACCAGAAGCTCTTCCGAACACAGATGTCTCACTGAGGTTGCTGTGTTACCTCCCTTGAATGGCATTGTTGTGCTGCTTGCTCTGGCCCACTGGCTGACTCTCCAAGTGGCTCTGTTATATGTGCTGTGCACTGGTTCTGCCACTAGGGGCCGCTATAGGTTCCCATGAGGTCCCTACCCCACCTCTCTTCATGATTCTGCTAGTTTGCAGGATGCAGAACCACAGCAGCGCACCACCCTTTCCATTGACCCAGAGATCATATATTTACAGGGCACCCAAGCCACTTTTCCTCCCATGGCAAGCTCTGCCTTTAACTAGCTCCATCAGCTCCTGCAGTCCAGTAAAGCTCCTCCCGTGGGACCTCTGCTTTCTGGCTTGCCTGTTGAGCATTAAAATCTGCCCTGAAGCCAAGCTCTTCAAGACACATGATTTAAGCTTCTCTTTCAGCTAATTAGATATTGTTCTACAAATTGGGCTGTTCTCTCTGAAAGATGAGCAGCAATTTATTTCCTCTGCCCTCTCCTTAAACTTAAACTGAACTGTAAAACATGGCCATTTGATTGTTTAGTCCAATCAGGAGATTATTTTGCAGGAGAAATAGATATCCATCTTCTTTCTAATACTAAGCCTGTTTGGGGCATTTCTTATGGGCTGCTGTGAAGATGGCGGACGGCTGTGCTTAAATCCCTCTCATTCTTTTGAGATGTGGGCTCTGTGGTGATTTATTGTGGCCCATGTATCTGTAATCATCGCCTAAGTAACCCATCACTCTCTGTAATAACATACCTTCACCCTTGCTGGATGAATATTTTTATTATCCTCATCTTTCTGATGAGAAGACGGATGCCAGGAAGTCAGGCTATTTGCCTAAGCTAAACAAGTGGGGAAGTGGGGGAGTCACACGGTGAACCCAGCTCTTTGGTCTTCACATCCCATAAAGCTGTATACTGTCTGATAAACCCAGCATCAGTTGAAGATTCAGTGAGGATTCCTTACCACACTTGATGAAGCACTGTCAGACTCTAAAACATTTTACAGTCCAAGGGGCTCTCATGCATAGTGGGAGGTCCCTACCCCACTATGCAAACTGCCTCTTTTCCTGTGCAGGGGGCCGGGTCTTCCCTCATCCTCAAGACTGTGCCCAGCATTTGATGAATGGAGACACTCTGAGTGGGGTTTACACCATCTTCCTCAACGGAGAGCTAAGCCAGAAGTTACAGGTGTACTGCGACATGACCACCGATGGGGGTGGCTGGATTGTAAGTACCTATGGCTGTTCTCTGGGCACGCCAGCATCCTTGGTGCTTCCATCCACCTGGCTCGGCACCCATCCATCCACACTTCACTATGCTTTGGCCATTTTTTCATCCACTCCCCCCGCCCCACAGGTCCACTCTGGAACTCTGCATCATCCTCAGGGCCCTTGTTCAGCAGCCCTATCACAGGTTTGACCAGGCAGAGGAAGGAATAAGAATATGAGGCTGCAGTGGTCCAGCCAAGAAAGGGGGACCCAGGAAAATGACTCCTTCTGGGGAGATAGTTCATGCAGGAGGGTGCCAGGGAAAGGGAGAAGTAGCTCAGAGAGGCCCAGGGGTCTTGCCTGCTGAAGACTGCAGCTATGATAAAGAAATAGAGGAGATGAGTCCCTCGTAGGAGAAGGGAAGTCTCTATGGGGAGGTGATCACTATCTTTCTATGGGAGAATCACATACAGCAAAGTAGTTAAGGGATAGAACGTGGATCGCCACCTCTATTTACAAAGGCCACCCCCTGTCTCCATCCTTTCCTGACCTCTCTAGTTCTTCCCCATAGTCTTCAGGGAGCAGAAGTGGTGAGGAAAAGAGAGAGTCCATTTCCTATCACCCTCCTCCCATGTCCGATAAGGGCAGTACAGAGAGAAGAGAATGGGCAGCCTGGCGAACGGCCTCACACATCACTGCAGGCCACCATGCAGATGGAGTTCTGGCAGCCTGGCCAGAAAGCAGCCCAGCATTAGCTGAGTCAGTGCAGATGGAAATTCAACCTCTCCACCCCCCTTCCTCCTGAGGATCCCGCCTCCAGCACCAACACACCATGCTAGATTTTTCACAGTGCCAAATGGATAGTTGTTGAATGGAGTCAAATGGTGGCTGGGCTCAAAACAGTCACTCTTGGGAGATGTTTTTCTTTTATGTTTCTGACATATTTGTGCCTTCTTCTTAAAGCATAACTGGAAGTTGAAGTCGAGGCTGATGTATTGGAGGTTAAATGAAATTAGCACTTAAACAGCTCGGAAAGTGAATGATACACACTTGCTTTGCCTGAAACAAGATGATGACATTACTGGCTGATCTGAAATGGGTCCTGTTCTTCTGGTGAAAAATGCTTTCTGCTGTATGCCATGGTGTGAAAAGATGGATTTGAGAGCCTAGCCTATTTCCCTTGACTATCAGCAGTTTGATATGTATCCTGAATCCTTTCTACATTGCAGGGGTGCAAATTAGTGTCAACATCACACCCCAGCCTATTCATCAAGGGCCCCTGTGCTTCGGAGAAGGGCTCCGAGCATCTCCTGCCATGACCACCGTGCAAACACCGAGCTCTCTGCTGCAGTGGTCCTTAGCTGAGTGTCTGTCACTGCAGATATAAAACTCAGTTACAGCAGTTTTACTCATTGGAGTTTATTTTCCTTAGCATTTTTTTTTTTCATTTGTCCCCTTCTTTCTTCACAGGTATTCCAGAGGCGGCAGAATGGTCAAACTGATTTTTTCCGGAAATGGGCTGAGTACCGTGTTGGCTTTGGGAACCTGGAGGATGAATTTTGGCTGGGTAACGCCTCCTTTTTTGTTTCCCTTGGAACACCACTCCGGCTTTTTGTCTGTCTCTCTCCTTTCTGTGTCCATCTGGGATTATCAGAAACCCTGGGTCTGTTGAGAAGTTGACAGCTTGTGAATTGCTTTCAGTACCTCATGCTCTGTTTGGCTCCACTATTGATCCGTTTTTATCTTGTTGTGGTATTTTCCTCTTTGCTCTGTCTCTTCCCATCCTCATTAATAGTCTCTTATGCTGATGGGTCTTGACGTGAGGCAGCTTTTCCAAAGGGAGTGAGCTGCCTGGTGGGGGAAGGGGGCAGAGGGAGCAATAGGCTGGCTGGTCATCTCTCAGAAGCCAGGCATCAGCCAGCCAGCCTGCAGGCCAGGAGAAAAATGAGACAGTCACTCAGACCTTGTTACTTGGAGGGATATTATTACCTGACTTGGGATGGAAAAGGAAAAAATGAAAATGACATTAGAGGTGACCGGCAATTTCCTAGAGGTCTGACCCAAGTGGGAGGTGTAGATTGAGAACCGAACTGGTGTGAGAAGGTAAACACACACCTGACCCAGGCAGATGGCAGAGGAGCCGGTTCCAGAAGGCAGTACATTTATTATTCCCTGCATCTCCCTGTTAGATTTTCACAGTGATCGTGAAAGGAGGCCAAGGAAAGGTGATAATTGCCTTCTATATCCGTGGTCTCCTCTCTGTCTCCCACTCAGCCTCACCATCTTTCTCTTGGACCCTCATATAAGAACCCTGTAACTGGCCTTCTGCCTCCTGGATCAACCATTGTCTACATGGCCACTAGAACCATCTCCCTCATTCCAAAATCTGAGCAATGGCTAGCCCCATTTGTAGAACTTTTAAATGAGTCCCCATCACCAGCACCTTAGCTATGGTACAAGGTCCTCCTCTTGGGCCTGCTCCCCACCGCCAAGAACCCCATTCCTCTTCCCTACACCCTCCAACTGACACCAAACTCCAAACATTTTCTTATTGAAGTATAGTTGATTGGCAGTGTTTCAAGTATACAGCGAAATAATGCAGTTATACATACACACATAAACACATATATCTATTCTTTTTCAGATTCTTTTCCATTATGAGTTATTATAAGATATTGAATATAGTTCCCTGTGCTATATACAGTAGGTCCTATTGTTTATCTATTGGGTTGGTCAAAAAGTTTGTTTGGATTTTTTCTGCAAGGTAGTATGGAAAAACCCAAACAAACTCTTTAGCCAATACAATATTTGTATATAGTAGTGTATATCTGAGAAGGAAATGGCAACCCACTCCACTGTTCTTGCCTGGAGAATCCCAGGGACGGGGGATCCTGGTGGGCTGCCATCTCTGGGGTCGCATAGAGTCGGACACGACTGAAGAGACTTAGCAGCAGCAGCAGCAGCAGTGTATATCTGTTAACTCCCAATTCCCAGTTCATCCCTCCCTTTCCCCAGACTCCAAAGCCTTAGAATCACTAATGTTTCCTTTGCAAGGAACCTCAGCCTATCAACTCTCCCCCATCCCCATACACCTTGCTGTGCTTCTCTGCATATTCAAAGCCTCAGCTAACCTCCTCTTCCCCAGTAGGACCTATCCTATCCATTTTTCTCTAACTTTGCCTGCAGGAGCAGTCTCTCTCTTTTGTGGCCCAAATCAATGTCTGATTTTCTCTCTGTCTCTCTTAACTATACTATGTAAACTTCTTTCAGGCCTGGGACCTAACCATATTCGTTTTCAACCTCATTACCTATCACAGTGGCTGAAGATAGTAGGTACCTAAAGTGTAGATACCAATCAATCACTCAATTTATAAGAATTTATTGAGTGCCTGTTAGATGCCCCGATCTGTATTTGCTGATGAATGTAATAAAATTAGAAGGTAAAAAAACAAACAAATACATAAATAAAAGTAGAAGGTAAAAATCACATTATAAAAGGAAAGAGAAGTGAAGAGGAAAACATCCTTGCCTTCTAAGAGTTTGCAGGCAACTTGGGAGGTGAGTGTAAAGCACAGACATCGATGTGCCCACAGCAGACAGTGTTCATGCTTACCCAACCTCAGCCACTGGACACCACAGTCACTTCTGGGAAACATCTGAACTCTCACACACTTTAATTTTCTATATATTACTTTTTTAAAAAATTATTTACTTGGCTGTGCTGGGTCCCAGGTGTAGCACATGGGATCCTCAGTTGCAGCATATGGGATCCAATTTCCTGACCAGGGACTGAACCCTGGCCCCTTGCATTGGAAGCTTGGGATCTGGACCACTGGACCACCAGGAAAGTCCCTATGTATCACGTTTTAAAAATGAAATCTATTCTTTTGAGAAAGAAACATCACAGCATTGCCAAAAACAGAAAGCCAGTCATCATGTGCCATAAATAAAAGGGAATCTTAAAAATAAATGCAATGAAAACAGCAAAAATATTAAATGCCAGTTGTTGCTGGTGCTGGTGGTGTAAAAATGGAGATTAGAAAGTGTTGAGTGTTAAACCACAAAGTTTTTGTTGTTGTTGCTGTTCAGTCGCTAAGTCATATTTGATTCTTTGCAACTTCATGAACTGCAGCACGCCAGGCTCCCCTGTCCTTCACTATCTCCCAGAGTCTGCTCAGATTCATGTCCATCGAGTTGATGATGGCATCCAACCATCTCATCCTCTGTCGTCCCCTTCTCCTCCTGCGTCAATCTTTCCCAGCATCAGGGTCTTTTCCAATGAGTCAGCTCTTTGCATCAGGTGGCCAAAGTGTTGCTTGGAGCTTCAGCTTCAATATCAGTCCTTCCAGTGAATATGCACAAAGTACTAGATCCAGACTGAAAGGAACAGTTAGAATCAGGGTTAAGGTTTCCCCTCCATCTATGGAGAAAGAGACAGAATTTGGAAATACTTTTCTCCCTACACATTTAAAGTTATTCATTCCTTACTCCAAAAATGTCTTCCCGGGTGGTTCAGTGGTAAAGAATCCACCTGCCAATGCAGGAGGTTCAGGAGATGTGGATTTGATCCCTAAATCAGGCAGATCCCCTGGAGGAGGAAATGGCAACCCACTCCAGTATTCTTGCCAGGAATATCCCATGGACAGAGGAACCTGGTGGGCTACAGTCCATGGGGTCACAAAGAGTTGGACACGACTAAGCACATTCCCCAATTACTTCTCATATCATCAGAGATGCCCTCTCACGCTCAGAAACACTGTACTCATCTATGAACTAGGCCACAAATATTCAGAGAGGGAAGAGTCGGCAAAGGTATTGAGAGGTGAGTAAGAGGGATGAAGGAGGGAGGGGGACAAGAAAAGAGGGAAGGCAGGGATCCCGTTGACATGAGCACACGGGAAAATGACAAACCATCCAATCAGAGCAAAGATGCAGCTCAGGGAAAGAAGAAAATGAGGTAAGGTGGGTTGAACAAAGGTGTGTTATGGTTCCTAAAGTGGGGAAGGGAAGTTTTGCATTAACACCATACGTAAGAGGGAGCCAGGGAGGGCTCTAAAGTAGAAGCACAGCCTGGTGATGTATAGTGTGAGTTCTCAGGTGAGGGGTAACACTCTGACCCATGGTTTATGTTGTAAGCTGGGTTCCCTAGAAGCAAAGTCTGACACTGGGATTCTTGTTCAGTTCATTTATTGGGCGAGTACTCTCAGAAGTGGGTGGGGGAAACAGGATAGAGCAGGGAGAAGTTTAACAATGTGATCTTGATGGGAGATTTAGCATCAGTCTGATCCTCAGGGAAGCTCTAGAGCATAAACTGCTCCTCAGAGTTGGTCCCCAGTGAGGTAAGGGGGCTGGGATTTGGTAGCCCCCCTCCCACATCAGGCATTGATAGGGCTCAGCCCCAAGGCATGGGGGAGGGAGAGGGTAACTTCCAGAGTGAAGCAACTCCTGTTTGGGCAATAATCCAAGGAGGCAACTGTGAGCTGTTAGCAACTGGGGGTTATGTCCACTGACCAGTTAAAGGGCATCTGGGCAGGGCACCACCAGGATCCACCGCATCACAAGCCAAGTGTAGGGTACCAGTAACCTGGCAAACAGCAAACAGTTATATAACATATAATATATAATTAACATAAGGCTTTAACTCTCAAACAGGACAGGGAAACAAACAGAAAGATCCAGGTGACCCGCCATCAGCCATGTCACCTCTCTGGACTTCAGCCACGTTTTCAACAAAACAAAGAGACTAGCCTAAGTAATTTCTAAATTCCCTTCCATCTGCAATTTTTTCAATTCTAAATCATGGTGTACTCTGATAGATATCAAATGTCACAGCAAAGCAAGAGGACCCCAGTTCAGTAAGCAAGTGGAAATCAGGAGGACTCCAAGATCACCAGGAATGTGGGGGCGGGGGCAGTTCAAATTCTGGGCAGGGAGGTCAGAATCAGAAAGATCCAGAGCACAGCCAGCCAGAGAAAAGAGAAAAGAGAATGCACATGGGAAAATATCACCAAAAAGGATCTGTACTCTGCCTAACTCTGGACTCCTGGGGTTTGCACCTATAGATCAAAGGCTAGGAAGTTTAGAGGCCAAGGAGACATGGCGGGAGGGCCAGGGGTGTGGGGCCGGGGTTGGCGGGGAGGGTGCGTGACTGACCAGATAGACGAGTGCAGAGGTGGCAGTGCAAAGATATAACAGGTAGATCCGAGAGACAGGAACTGGTGTCAGGAGACAGGGGACAATGTTCTCTGACGTGGTTATGGGAGTCTCAGGAGGGCTGAGGCAGAGAACAGGAAGGGCAGTGTAATTAAAGGTGGATGGAGCCCCCTCCCAGGCTACTGGGTAGGATGTGCAGGTCCTCTGGACCCCGAGGGTCCACTCTGAGTTCCCCTGATCAGTGCTCCTACCTCGTGCTTCCTATCACTCACACCAAAGGAGTCACACCCCAATGATGCTGCTCATCATTTTCAAACCACACTGTGGTTTGGAATGGGAGGTGATAGGGGGACTAGGCCAGGAATCCTATGGCTCAGGGCTTGTTGGTTACTGGGTCAACACTTGATGGCAGGACCCCTGAGCTGACCTGCAGTGGGAACTCACCAGCAGAACTAAGTGGCTTCTGTGCAGGAGGAAATTTGGGGTCTGGTAAGGTCTGACTGGGCTTCCCTGGTGGCTCAGTGGTAAGGAATCCACCTGCCAGTGCAGGAGATGCAGGTTCAGTCTTGGGGTTGGGAAGATCCCCTGGAGTAGGAAATGGCAACCCACTCCAGTATGCTTGCCTGGGAAATCCCATGGACAGAGGAGCCTGGAGGGCTACAGTCCCTGGGGTCACAGAGTCAGACATGACCTAGCAACAAACAGCAACAACAAGGGTCTGTTTGATAACCACCTGGGAAGGGCTAAACGCAAAAGCAATCCCAGTACTCCTCCTTTTCCCAGAACATCTGTTTGGAGGCCACAGTCACCTTCTGCCACCCATGTCCGAAGCCACTGCAGCCAGGCTCACTGCGTTCTTGGCTCCTCTCCACAGGGCTGGACAATATACACAGGATCACGTCCCAGGGCCGCTACGAGCTGCGTGTGGACATGCGTGACGGGCAGGAGGCCGCCTTCGCCTCCTACGACAGGTTCTCTGTTGAGGACAGCAGAAGCCTGTACAAACTCCGCCTGGGAGGTTACAACGGCACCGCAGGTACCCCAGCCCCCAATCAGTGCCCAGGGGTAGTGGGCGTGCAGTAGGACCCCACACTCTAGGCCTGAGCTGCTCTGGGCAGTCACAGCAGCGCCCAGAGAGGTGAAGTCCCTGCTGGCCCCGAGGAGGAGGGTGGCGGGCTGGAAGCACTGGCTCTGGTCCAGGCTGCCCCCCACCTGGATTGAAACCATCCCCTGGAGGAGAGCATGATGATGCATTCCAGTGTTCATGCCTGGAGAACCCCATGGACAGAGGAACCTGACGGGTTCCAGTCCATAAGGTTGCTAAGAGTCAGACATGACTGAAGGGACTTGGCACGCACGCAAGCTCCTCATCACTCAGGTGACCTTCAATCAATTTCTCAAGCACTTCAGTTTCCTCATCTGGAAAATCTTAATAATGATGCCTGCCCTAGTTCACAGAGCGGACAGAAAAAATAATGTGATAAATAGAGTGAAAGTGCTTTTTGAAGTTAAAAAAAACTACCATGTGAGGGTGAAGGATTATTTTTCTTGTCTAGATTAGTCAATATGGGCTCTCATCCCGTGAAAGCATAATCATCTATTGTCTGGATAGAAATCTCCCCTGCAATGACAGCTAGGAAAATCATCTTTGAACTAATGAAAATAAGACAGATGCCCCATTCTGAGCTGTCCCCTCCTCTATCAGCAGTCTTCATCACACCTCCATCAGGGAACAAACAACAGTGCTACATGTCCCCCCACGGGCCACCTCTTTTCAGCCCTCCACAAGAACCCATACATGGTCTCGTTTTCTGTAGATTTTATGACACTTTCACTAAGTACAACAACCATCTCTATAAGCTCTGTTGCATTAAGAGTTTTATCAGGACATCATAGCCCAATCTGATTCTTAGGCTCTGCCAATCTATTTCCTAAGTTCCCTTCTAGTACCTATCCTAAAACCTGTTTTGCCACATATTCCACTATTTGGTACATGGAGTTATTGGTCTTTTCATTAACTCCAATTATATAGCTAAATGCTAGGGTATAAACTTAGCAACATTTTTAAGACTCTTGGAATTAAGAAGATCATCAAAGCGTTGCCTCTCCCACGACTGCATCTGCTCAGTCATTTCTCTGCTCAACCAGGTGTCATTACTCCAAAGAGAAGACATGCTTCCCCCTGTTGTTTTTCACATGAGAGATCATTCCCCAGGACAATCAGACCTGCCCGAAGTGCCCCAATAAAAGATCCAATTTTCCCACACTTTGGATGTAAAATAGTCATTTGAAATGGAGTATGTGACACAAAATGTCGGACCAAGTCATTTCAGAAATAACCTGATACCAACCACTCCCCAAGATTAGAATCGTGCCTGCAGAATCTGCTCTTATTTCTCCCACAGACAGACAAGCAAGCCCTCCCACTTGCTCACATGGCTGACCCCCCTCCCTCCTCCTCAGCACCCCCAGACTGCGCTCTTACCTGTCGAACTGGGGCCCTCCTTCTGCAGTCTCTGTGTAGCTCTGTCTCATGCTGGACCCCATGGAGCTCACAGCTGTTGGACTATGCCCTACTGTCACATTTCAGAGGCAAGTCCCACCAACAGTTTGGCCAATCATCAAAAATGAATTGCGATCTGACCTCTTAGGTCAAATATTCAGTTCATCTTCTTCAAACGATGAGAAGCTGGGCTTATGTAGGCCCCTTCTCTGAACAACTTCACACAATGGTGGTTCTTTCCAGACTGGAAGTTCTCCAAGGGGGAGGAGCCATGCTCTCTCTGGCATTTACTATTGCCCAAGTCCCCTGGCCTTTATCTTGCATGTTGCTCATCTTTATTGGCCCCACTAGAACAGTGGCCTCTGTGGCCTTCAATGCCAAGTTCAGTCCCTTCTCCCATCTCCATTGTTCTCAAGTCTGCAAAAATCCAAGTCTCTAACCAGGACTCTTAATTGAATTGGAGCTGAACATTACAAGTCAAATTGTGGCTAAAAGGTTGTTGAGAAACCTCTAAAAGTTCATCATGCAAATTGTGAGGACTCATAAGGAGCATAAGGCATGACCTCTGCAAGAACTAAACTTCCATCTGAAAAAGAAACAGTGTGGAAGCAACTCACCACAAAATGAATGGTACTCACTTCCAGTTTAACCTGCATTCAGAGAAGGGGGGGTCTGGGAAGTTGAAGAAGGCTTCATGAAAGCAGCAGCATTTGGCTGGGATCCCAAGGGGAAGGCAAACATTCCAAGGAAAGAAAATCTTGGGGGAGAAGTCACAGAAGGAGCAGTTAGTGTGGAGGGAGGGCAAGTGCAGAGGACCTGGCTGCCCAGGACAGGGTGTGAGTTCAGAGAACAGAAAGGAGCCAGGTGGAGTAAGGTGGAGTCAGACCCTGAAGGGCCTTGAAGCCAAGGGGACAGAGGGGTCCTACCTTAATACGGTGGGCAGTGGGGAGCCATGGTGGGTCCTAAGTGACACAGTGGACGTGAAGCTTTAGGAAGATCCATAAATAGGATAAAGTAAACCTGAGTGAAGAACAGAGGCCAGCTGGACCTGCTGCATTAATCCTGGTAGGAGATCACAGGAGCCTTGACTGCTCTTAGGAGTTGAGAGAAAAGTATAAATCTGAACAGCAGTTTGAGAGAGAAAAACCAAGACTTAGATGATGGACTGAACGTATGAGGTGGATTTATGAAGCAGGAATGGGAAGGGGGCCAGATCTGGGGAGGAGACAAAGACCAACATCAGGATCATATCTGAGACAGCAGCAGGCAACATCCAAAGTGGAAACAGGAGAGAATAGTGCCCAGGGAGTGAGGAGGGAATAGTTCCCAGGGAGGGCAGCTTCTAGGTTAGAGAGATAAGCAGGAGGTGAGAAGATAGAAACGTGGGTAGAGACAACATAGTCAGGGGACTGATGGTAAAGAGTCTCTAGAAAGTAGGATTAAGTCAGGATTTTTTTAAGACACAGGGATTGAGTATGAGTTAGGGTGAGAAGAGATGAAAATGCTAAAATATCAATATATATCTATCTCTATCTGTATCTATATGAAAAAAGGAAAAGTAAGGACTCTTTTCTGCTTTCTCCAGGACCTGGAAGAGATGGGAAAGAGTGAGTTGCAGGTCGGTGGGATCATCTCTGAGTGGAGACAAAGCCTGGTTTGTTTAGAGACTGAGAGAGGGAGATAAAAAGGATGGGATAGAAATAATGACATATGTACTTAAGGACAAAGCTGGCCTGAATGGACCAGGCTTCCCTATAAAAGAAAGACCATCCTCCTAAGAATTAAATTGTGACCAGAAGCACTTGGAGGCATTGAGTGGCTACTATGAGTGTGGACTCAGGAAGCCACAGGATCAGAGCGATGAGTTCCCCTGGCTTAAAGTGACCTTGGATGCATCTACGACAACAGTCATTCAATGGCATGAACCCCTTCACAACATCTCTAACCACAAATTCTACCAGAGGTTTGGCCAATAGTTATAAATTAATTATGGTCTGATACCTCACTTCAAACACTCAGTTCATATAAGTGGCCTACACAACATCCCAAAAAGAAAATCTCCAGCTTCTAAAAATAGAGATCTCCCCATATTTCCAAGTAATCTATCCCATTTATCAACAGCGCTAATATTTAGGTGATTCCTCCTCACACATTGAGCCAAAATACGCCACTTCACAGTCTCTACCTACTGGTCCTCATACTTCTCCAAAGAGTGTCTGTTTGGTGGAGTTCTTTGTTTACTAAATAACCCATCAAATATTTGGAGTCGGTGATCTAGAACCTTGTCTCCCCTTGCAAGTCTGCTTTTCCCCAAGATACAGCCCTGATTTTCCCAATCACTTCTCCTCTAACATGGTTAGGATTTTCTTATCATCTTGCTTCCTATGGACAGAAACTCCAGTTAGCTAATGCCCCTCTTCACACATGGACCCTAGTTCTGAACAAGGGGATACTGGATGTGACCAAGGCCTGATGAGCCATGGGGAAAGCCAGGCTGCATGGTGGTGACCCAGATTAGCCAGGGCGGCATGACTCATCACTGCCTCCTCTGAGACACAAGGAGCCATCCATGCCTGTGTCCCAATGCTGGCCTGGTGGAAACAGACAGGAATGGTGAGGTGGAGCTGAATGGACAGAGTTCTGAGCAGAAGGTCAGGGGAATGAGGAACTGAGTTGGAGAGAGCAGCACAGATGTAGTGGACCCCAGGCGTTCGTGGAGAAAGAGCTCAGTATAGCCAGGCTGAAGCTGAATAGACAGAGAGGTAAGCGGAAGGTCTCTTAAGCAGACGCCAGGTTTGTTGGGCCTGGATCAAATGTCCAGAACGTTGTGACAAAAAATGACAGATTGGACAGCTTCAAGGATGTGTTTTTTTTTTTTTCCCCAGGGGACTCTCTCAGCTACCATCAGGGCCGCCCATTCTCCACGGAGGACAGAGACAATGACATAGCAGTTACCAACTGTGCCATGTCATACAAGGGGGCCTGGTGGTATAAGAACTGCCACCGGACCAACCTCAACGGGAAATACGGCGAGTCCAGGCACAGTCAGGTGGGTGAAACTCTGCCGCTGCATAGATGAGCCATGCAGCCCACGTGCCTTAGCTTCACGTTCGAAGTGCACAGGTGGGCCTTGCATTTCCCTTTAAAAAAGATACACTCAGAGTGTTGAGAATGGACTATTATAAAGAGGGAAATAATGCAGACACTGAGATAAGAGCAGGGCAGAGTCAAAGCCAGAGGAAGAAATGGGGAACACACCTGGACTCAGGAGCTAGAACTCACCCAGAGAAACCTTGACGAAAAGTCAAGTCCCATTTCGTTTCCTCCTCTAGGATATCCCGTGAAGAGCTTCTCAAGTTCAGGGACCACTTCACAGGCCCAGCTTCATCCAAAGAAGTATCCTAGGAAGGGAGAGAGCAGGAATAGCAGTGTCAATGAGACCGTGTCTCCCCACTGGAGACCACGTACCCATCGGCTGGGTTGGGTGGTAGGGCGGCCAACTGGGACCTCTCCAGTTTTAGCACAGGAAAGGCTAGCAGCCAGGGGCACCCCTTAGTCCTGGGCAAACCAAGATGGCTGGTTACCTGATAGATGGAAACCACTTAACGCTCCCATCAGGAGTGGGCCGTCAAAAGCAGTTATGCTCTTCAGAATGCTTCTATACTGTTGGGAATCTGAAATTCAAATTTACTGGTGCATGCAAATCCTGAAAGCCCAAACCAGAAAGCCAGTGATAAGGAAAGACCTGCTACACATTCCTAATATAGGCCCAGACCACAAGCATGCCTAAAGAGAAAAGCTAGAAAAACAAAAATCTCTGGGTTTTTTGCCCTTTTTGTAGGGGGAGGGAACTCAGCCACAAAGCTTCATGTTAATGGAAAAGGGCTAAATGTTCATCTTGGATTCCCCACTCTCAGCCAACACCCTCTTTCTTTTCAGGCTGGGAGTTCCCTTGAGTGGGGAAAGGTGATCTGACATGCTCATCTTTCTCCTTCCCAGGGGATCAACTGGTACCACTGGAAAGGCCATGAGTTCTCTATCCCCTTCGTGGAGATGAAGATGCGCCCATACAGCCACCGTCTCGTGGCAGGGAGGAAACGGCGGTCCTTGCAGTTCTAAGCAGTGGGCGGCTGCGAGCCAACTGACCTTTTCTGTCATTTGTTTGTACTTTATAATATGAAACAAGGGGTGGGGGACATAGTAATGTGCTTTGCAACATGTTAAGAGTGTTTGAAGGAAGCGGGATGTAGCAGGAACCAGTTGAGAATCAGCAGCTCATGGTTTCTGCTGCCTCCGGGCCTGCCCCTCAGTCTCCATGCTCCCTCCTACCCAGCCATCCCTAACCATCCCCTCTTTTCCCACCAAGGAGGAACAGTGAGACATTTTCTTAAAAGACCAACTCAAAACCAGATCGTGGAGTCAGATCGGTGACAGGCACGTGCCTTCTTTCCTGCCCTCCTTCTGAGATGCCCTTAACTTCCAGGAACCGAGCTCTGGTCACTGCCTTCGGTGGCTGGGTTCTCACACCAGTCCCAAGAAGAAGCCCCAGCAAGAGAGCTTTGCCAACAAGTCCCCTTAAAAGGAAATGTTTTAACCTCACCCTGTCCCAACAACCCAAGTCCTTTGTAATGGGCCAAAGATTCTCATTGAACGTTCTTAGTCTTACCAGCCAAGTGTCCTCTGTCACCTTTCAAGAGGAGGGGCCTATTTTCCAGCCAACCCATCCTTTGCCCACTTCCATCCTACCTTAAGATCCCCTGTGGCCTCACAAGCCCAGCCACTGTTTTGGATTCTAGTTCCCAAGGTGTTGCTTACACCTGGCCTGGGCTGCACAGTGGCCGTGTGCCCGAGGGTCATAAGTCCCTGCCCCCTCCCTCAGGTCAACTTTCTTTGAAGCTAGGAGGTGGAGAGAGTTATGGTTCATAGCACTTTGGGGTCAGGCACTGAGGAAAAGGCAGAAGAAACAGGTCTGGGTTCCCCTCGGAACCTGTCATTGAGATCACAGGTTCCGTGGGGAACATAGATCCCACCTAGCTCCATTTTCTCTAATTCTGGTCCTATTTGTCATGGATTCTTTTTCCTGAATTGCAAACTAAAGCCTCAATTCTGAGGCTCTCATTTCAGCCAAGCTCTCCTTAAGGCAAGCGGCTTAATAAGAGTCAGGAGAAGTTATATGACCAGCCAGCCATTCCCCTGACTGATAATCTCTGGGAAGAGGTGGAATTTCAGGGTTTGGGTTTCAGTTTTCTCCTCTTTCTTTTGGTCCAGTGAGAAACAGGAATGACCTCCTTAATGAGGTGAGCTCACAAGAAGCCTTTCTCCATCTTCTTTTATTATTCTGCCTTTGAGAGGAAAAATGAAAAGTGCCAGAGGAAATTACATCTAGAAATCCAAAGGTGAATAGGGGAAAAGTATGGGCCTACCTCCCCTTTTATGAGATGTGCTCTCTTCGCTAGCATGATTTGATTTTTACACCCAAGAGACCTGGAGGCTCTAAAGCCATGACCCTTCAACTTCTCCAACCAAATGTCAGCTACAAGCATTCCTGTGGTGTCTGCCAAAATTCATTCCCAGTCTCCCCAGCCACTTGTTTCCTCCTCTCAATTTTTCCTTAAGGCCTCAGGTTTGGTTGTTTTGTAATATCCACCTTTAGTCAAACTGAGGCATCCTGGGCCTTTCCCAGCCAATCACTGGATGAGCCTGAGAGTTGGCAATTTTCTAATGGAAACATGCACAGTGTAACTGAGCTATGTTAAGCAGGGAAGGACAGTCCCCCAGGCTGACAACCACATTTCTGATGTAACGAGGATGGAGTCAGTCGCCCCTTGCCCTCTCCCTTTAGTAGATCTTCAAGGTCTTGTTCACTGCCATGGTGTGGGTGTGACTGCCAGACCAGGGGTGGAAATGGAGGTGACATTCCCATTTCTCAGTTCACCATGGGCTTCAAAAAACTAGGGGGAAGGAAGAAGAAACAGAAACAATCCTTTCAAGAAACCCGGTAATTAAGATTTAGCTAGAGAGTAGGAGCCCAATGAACAGCAGGAAGCTTGTTGAATGTGGAACCTGGGGTCTCAGGGGTGGGCTCTGCTGTGTTTTGGCGCTATGACTTCAGGAAGATTTTTTCACCTCTTGGGGCTTCAGTTTCCTTATCTGGTTGAATGAGACTAGAACGGCTTCAAACTTCCCTGTCAGTTCTGATGGTCAGTAAGGCTAGTCTCTGATCTGAACATGAAAATTGGCATTGGTGAGCAAGCACAACTAAGTAATGAAAATTCACTAGAAGCCCTGCTTTATGAAAGAGACAGAAAAAGAAAATCTGATTCTGAAGTCATCAGTAAAACATATACACATGTACATAACACAGCCACACACACACATACACACGAAAATATTGCAGAAAAGACTGCCAAGGAAGTGGCTGGATTCATTTTGTCCATAAAAGCAGAACCCGGGGTCCCGGTTGATACGAGTACAGCCCACCTCATCGAGGGAATTGAGATGGGAAAAGATGATGGGTCCTCATGTTGTCAATTCAGGTGAAAGCCAAGAAACATCAGTGGGAACCAAAATCTGTCTTCTACTGGAACAATTTTACCCTATGGAACATTTTTATAAATAGTATCAGCAGCATTGCCTAGATTCCTGTTAAAGAATTTCAAAGCAAAGAAAGGAACTTCAAAGACTAGCTCACCTTTCTATAAAAAGGATTTATAGATTCCTTTTATTAGGTACAGTGATTTTCTCACAAGTTTTCACCATTTTTAAGAGACACTGTACCTCAGTATCTCCCCAAGGCCCATGATCAACTGGACTCAAAGCTTCATAACATGACTCATGGATTCCTGCTTATCCTGTTCCTCCAAGCACCTGCGCCCTCCCCAAAGATGGATCCAGGAAACAATAGTCAGAAAGAGCTCACCCTCACACACCACAGTTTCCTTCAAGGGACTCAGAAGGAATAGCGGTGGACTCTGCTCAGAAGCAGTTTAACGGCAGACACATCAGGATATGTGCTTATAAAAAAGAAGAAAACACCCTACCAGTGACCTCAATAGGCTCACCACCTAGACCCGAGACCCAAACAGTTTCTTCTTCTTGCATCTCCCCATCAGATAATTTCGAACGCAGCAAACACTTCCTCCAGGTTTATTTCTGGACGGTGAAGGAGCAGAGGTAGGGAAGAGACAACAAATTTGTGGAAAACTCCTGCTGGCTTTTGGACTCCCTTGTGGTTCAGCTGCAATGCAGAAGACCTAGGTTCGATCCCTGGGTTGGGAAGATCCCCTAGAGAAGGAAAAGGCTCCCCACTCCAGTATTCTGGCCTGGAGAATTCCATGGACTGTATAGTAAGTTCTGCCGCTGCTGCTGCTAAGTCACTTCAGTCGTGTCCGACTCTGTGCGACCCCATAGACGGCAGCCCACCAAGCTCCCCCATCCCTGGGATTCTCCAGGCAAGAACACTGGAGTGGGTTTCCATTTCCTTCTCCAGTGCATGAAAGTGAAAGTGAAGTCATGTCCAACTCTTAGTGACCCCATGGACTGCAGCCCACCAGGCTCCTCCATCCATGGGATTTTGCAGGCAAGAGTACATGGGGTCACAAAAAGTCAAACACTAGTGAGTGACTTTCACTTTCAACTGGAGGAGGGAAACTTGCTAAGCATGACCACAAGGTGGTGTTGACATCTCCCAGTCACCTTCTGATGATGGGGTTGAGGACACAGTGCCTCCAGGTTTTCAAAACTCATACCAAACCAGGACCCAGGAAAACTAGCTGACTGATCTGTAAAGGAAACAACAAAAATGGTAGCAAGAAAATGCAAAGCAAAATTCCAGAAATAGCTTAATCCACCCTACCCTTCATCTACCAGATCCCCACTCCACTACTCATGGAGTATGTAAGATACCCAACACCTATGCCCTCCCACCTGGGAAGCCACCAGCTCTCTGCACAGTGAAGCTGTTATTTCAAAGACAAATGTGAAGAACCAAGGTTGCTAATGAGTTCAGTGCCAAACCAAGCAATCTTTAATCACATTTATACTTTCAAAATCCAGTCCCAGAACCGAGCCATAGATTAAGGGACAACAGGTCATTATGGAATCTTCTCAAAGAGTCCTTTTAAAAGCATCATTTGAGAGAGGGTTTATGACTTCCTCTTTGTCCTCTCTTCTGGAGGATAAATGGGATCTGTGAGAACAGTGGGTACAACAAGCTGAGGGGGTTGAAATAGACTAGCTAGTGGCCTGGATTTGCAAATACTCCTGGGGCATGCAAACATTTTTCTTTTTCTTTTTTTACCCTCCACTCAGAATTTCAGAAAAGGTGGAACCACTTACTCAAGATATGTGCTTTTCTATGGTTTGCTTTCTTATCACTAGACTCCTATTCAATCTAATTCCTTACTTCCATTTCTTTCCCTCCAAAGGGGACACTAGGGCATCCCAAGTGGCTCAGTGGTAAGGAATCTGCCTGCCAGTGCAGGAGACTTAGGTTTGATCCCTGGGTTGGGAAGATCCATTGGAGGAGGAAATGGCAACCCACTCCAGTATTCTTGCCTGGGAAATTCCATGGACAGAGGAGCCTAGTGGGCTTCCAACTCATTGGAAAAGACCCTGATGCTGGGAAAGATTGAGGGCAGGAGGAGATGGGGGTGACAGAGGATGAGCTGGTTGGATGGCATCATTAACTCAATGGACATGAGTCTGAGCAAACTCTGGGAGATAGTGAAGGACAGGGAAGCCTGGCGTGCTGTAGTCCATGGGGTTGCAAAGAGTCAGACACGACTGAGTGACTGAACAACAACAAAAGGGGGAACTATATTTGCACCTCACTGTCCATTCTTAAAACTTTGATCAGGAAGCTCAGAAAGATTCACACTTCAGTTTCAGTAATCCCAAGAGGGTGGGGTAATCTGCTTTCACTTGTCTCAAACTTGCCACAGCTGCAAGAAGGGCCTTGGGACCCCAGAGGCCTGTAGAGAATCTGGGAAGTTTAGGAGTCTTGCTTCTTGCACAAATCTCAAGATACCTAGAGCTGCTGATTCAGCCTCCCTGGGTGGCATGTTTTCCTCCCAGTAACAATGACAGAGAGGTTCTTTGCTCTAAGGATGAGTCTAGCTGCTACACTGTGCCTGTAGCCTCTCTCTGGTTCTACCTCAGGGTTCCTTGGCCAAGACCCTGAAGATCTTTGACTAAATTCGCCCCTAAACCTTTGTTGTTTCTGCCACCCAACCCCACACAGATGGGACAAAGTTTTCCTCAGCAATTCTGGAGCGTTCTGTCACTGCCAGACCAAATGAGCATCCCACAGGCTAAAGGAAAACTCCTAAAAACAATAAGGAAAAATCTCCAGGAAAATGGGTGAGTTGGTGGAGGTCCAATGTGAAATGGCTTGGGTTCATCCTAATGGTATCCGGGCTGGATTTACTTAGATCCATGCTGGGCTCGTCAAGCTTTGAGAAACAGCTGGGAAGGAAAAAATTAAATGCAAAACACAAAATAACATAAAAAAGAAGCTGATGGGTCACTGGAGACTAAAAGCAAGCTCTCTGCAGATGGCCCAACAGCAAAAATAGCAAACAAACAAAATAGAGACCAGGCGTGAGGAGCCCTGGAAAAGGGACCAGCATTAGTCTTCGAGTTCTGCCCGCCCCCCCACCGGAGCTCCTGTTCACCCACTTCACACGAGGAGGAGCGAAGTCACCAGTGGTCTTCACATCACAGAAATGAGAAGCAAAGGGGCCTCCTTTGCTTGCTCCACCTGTCTGCCTGGACCTCGCTTTTCCTTCACAGCAGCCACAAACCCAATGTGCCATCTCCAGCATTTCTGATTAATTTTTCAAGGTCACCCCTTGCCTGAAGCGTGACTTCATCGCACCTGCAGCACTTCATTGTCCAAATGTCCTTGGCAGGCCTCGCCGTCTTTGGACAGAGTTGCACTTGCTCCCTACCGGAAATTCTCCCTCCTTCCCCAAGCTTAATAAGGCTGTGGCAGAGCATTCACAGAACACAGCTCCTTTTTCTCAGAAAAACCCCTGTCTGCTGTTAACTTCCTAAAACAGCTCCTCATTGTCAGTGGTGAGGCTGGGCTGGTGCTAAATTTCCAATTCATTTAACCTTTCTGGTCTCACGGGTTCCACTCTCCCAGGTACTTGCACTGGCTCATTGGCATCAGGGGTTCATGGGAGGCAGTGCAGACATCCCAGGAGGCCTGGAACACCAAAGCCTTGAGAGAGGGTTTGGGTCCAGATGCATGGCCAGGAGGCGAATGCATGGATGATCACACTGTTTTCTATTGTTTTCTTCCCATCACTGGTTTGGCAGCCCCCAGGAAGACCTTGTGTTTTTCAGTTATGTGCTCAACACAGCTTTCAAACAGCAAGTATTGGGAGCCTTCAGAGCTGGAAGGGCCTCTGAAGCTCATCTAATCCATCCTTCTCATTTCATTCTCCGGGAAACTGAAGCCCAGAGAGGTTAGCAACTTGCCCAAGTTCACACAGCTAATTAGAAACAGAGGTGAGATTAGATCTGGTTTAGGCTTTTCGCTCCCCAAATGAAGACTAAGAGAAATGGTATTGATTATATACCTTTTATTTTCCAGATACTGTGTTAGAAGCTTGACATCTATTACTTTGTTAAATCTTCACCACATCTTGACCCAAGTTTAATCATCTTACACATGAGTGAATAGAAGAACAGGAAGATTAAGTAACACACCCAAAGTCACACAGCAGCTAAGTAGAACCATAACGGGAAGCTCTCTGTCTAATTCTAAAGTCCATGCTTTTGCTGCTTCATGAGGCTGCTGCCCTTTTATATTTATTTAGCCAAGTGGCCACCATCTTGGATTTGCTAATATCCTCACAAAGGAGCCACTTCCTCTCTCCTCTCTGTCTTTCAAGAAAAGGGAATTCTTGCATTGTTTTTGCCACATACTCCAGGGGACCTTCAACCTCACCGTCAGAAGTAAGAAACATCCCGGCAACTTTTTCCTTTTCCTTGTTTTTTTTTTTTTTAATTTGGGAAATGAAGGAGAGGGTCACAGTGGATTGGGAGGAGAAGGTAAAGACCAGAACACAAACACTATTTCCCCCACCCCACTCCTTGGAGAATATGAAGCCTCTGTCTCAACCAACATTAGAAGAGTAGGCAATTTCAGGGTCATTCTTCTCAAACTGAGGCAGGAGACGTGGCCAGGATTGAGAAGGAGGATACCCCAGAATAAGTGTTGCACGTGCTCCTAGAGTGTCAGTTTTACTCTTATTGGGAGAGGAAGGATTATATTATTCATGTATTCAAACCAATGCAGTTGGTATCAAATGCAGAAATGCCGAAAATGTTTAGACTAAAGCCTGTAAGTTAAAGACTGATTTGGGCTCCCTCCTTCCAGACTCTCAGGGTTACTAGGACCTTCATGGTTCCTTGCAGGGACAAATCAGTGGAAATTCTTGAGGAATGAGGCTAGAAAAAGGCAGGAGCCAAATTAATTTTGTTTGTTCCCTGATTTCTTTACCCGTCTCCCAACCTGCTTTCCCCTCCCAGTGGGCAGAGGGGCTCGGAGGACTGTGGCTATAATCTCAGCTCTCTTTGCTACTTTGGGGGATTTACAGGGAAATCAGTGCTTGGCAACTTGTATTTTTCACTGCTTGGCCCAAACTCCAGACATGAGCCCCTTTCTCTTATTTGAACAACATTTATATGTAAGGAATAGATCTGGGAGAGATCTCTGCATCATGGTCCTCTCCCACATTGGGGCTGATTGGGCAGCAGTGACATCTCTCTGTTTGATGCAGAGACATCACGGCTTACAAAAAATATCAGCCAGGGAAGTGCTGCCCTGCCAACCCTCTGTCCCCACCCGTGCCCTCTCTGTTGCCTGAACTCACACCATGGACACACAGAGCAAGGTTCAGAATCCACACGAGCTACTGTTAACACACAGACTCCCCCTTCCTATTATTCCAACCGCAAAGACACTCCAGGCCCTAGGAATTCCCAGGTACCCTAAGCAAGTCACCATGACCTTGAAGGAGCTGTTACCTGGGGCTCGGCAGCTGGAACCCACCCCAGTGGTCTCTAGACTGTTCTGAGAAATCACAAACACCAAATCCTCCAATTCCTCCAAATTTGAGTTTGTTGTTTTAACCTTTAACAGCCTTTTCAGGTAAAAAATAACAAAGACCGATTTACTCACTTTGTAGCTACACTGTGCCTGGAAATGCATTTACTTAAAGACTAGAAAGACTAGATGGAAGAAAGGTAAAAAACAAGAACACATGGAGTACATACTCCTCAGG